GTCCTGCTGCCCTTCCCCGTTTCAGGCTACCTACCGCTTTCTCAACTTCTTCTAGTGTTGGGGGACCTGTCTCTATGTCCCATTCAGGGTCCGACTGGACGTGGCTGGAGGCCAGTTAAACTGTTCCTCAAAGTGTTCTGCCCATCGTCCCAGTCGCCTTCCCTGCGAGTGAATCGCCGATCCGTCCTTCTCCGCTATAACCTCACTAACTGTTGTTGACCATTTCCCCCCAGTCTCCTTAATAAGTCTAAATAACTGTCTACTGTTACCGATCGCCGCTGCCTTTTCCATCTCTTTAGCCTTTGCTGCCCACCACTGTTCACGATCGTTGCGCAGACTTTTCGTCAGTTTATTTTTAAGTTGCGCTCGCTCTTCATTGTACTCAGAGCCTGCAGGGATGCATTCACGTGCATCCATTAGTTTGGAAGAAGCTGCTGATATCCACTGGCTCTTTTTAGCCATTATCTTGGAGTCGGCTACAGTCTCCAGTGCTGCTTTTACAGTAGACTGAAGATGGCACCAAGCTTCTTCTGGATGAGTGACAGTCTTTTGTTCCGATAACTGCCTAGCCAACTTCTCACTGAACACGGCTTTGGTGTTTTCGTTGTCCAGCAGAACTCGTAGTGGTTTTGTTGCCAAATTTTTTCTACGTCCATTGAGACGCAGGCATATACGTGCTCGGACCAACGCATGATCGCTGTCCAAACACGTACTCCAGAAGGAGCGGCAGTCTTCCACCGATCCTCTCCAGCGATGACTAATAGCAATGTGGTCTATCTGTGTCCATCGCTGAGTCGAGCTCGGTGGACGCCAGGTCAGACAGTGCCTTTCTTTATGTCTGAAATTTGTGCTGGCTAAAAATAGGCGGTTATCTGAGCATAGTTGTAATAGGCGATCACCGTTATCTGTACGTTCAGCTGGGATTCCGAAAGTGCCACCTAAGTGCCTTTCTGCCTCACTCAGTCTACCCACCTGTGCGTTGAGGTCACCTGCAACAACCACTACGTCCGAACGTTTGGCTTTCGAGAGGAGGTTAGACAGTTTATGGTAGAACTCGTCCTTCACTTCATCCGAACTACAGTCAGTGGGTGCGTAAGCAGAGATTACAAAGAGACAACGGCGAGTCTCACTATTCCTTTTAGTTCTCACTGTGCCGTTCAGCCTCATAGCGCAGAGGCGACTATCAACTGGGATCCAGTCTAGTAGTGAGTTTTCTGCCCTGGTGCTTAATGCTATACCTACACCTGCAAGACCACGAGAGCTAGCTATCGAATCTCCAGAAACTCGAAGGGTGAATTTTGCAGATTCACCAGATTGGTCAGGAGAGGTCAGGTGAATAACCACACTTGGGTCCTGTATGCGTGTCTCACAAACACAGCACACATCCATGCCCGAGTTGCTAGAGTCTTTGCCAACGAAGCCTGTTGGCCAATTTGACGGAGGGTGCGGACATTGAAGGCTCCAATATGTAATTTGGAGCGTGGTTTAAGGAGACCAGGAGTGCTGTTCTGTGGACTCAGATCGTTGTCGAAGGCTGCAGAGGTAGGAGAAATTGAAGATGATGCAGCATCATTAATTAAGAGACGTGAAGGAAGATTAGAAGGTAATGATGGAGGAGGAGGATAGCAGTCAGAAGAAACTTGGGTGCTGACAGAGTTGTGAGGGCGGTTGACACTTCCCGGCTGCCCACACCGTGGAAGGCTATTTCTTCTTAAGGTACCTGAAAGAGATTTGTGTGACCGCAGAGCCCATCGGACATCTGCTTGAGGCCTGTCACACCCAGCCTTTTGAGTATGATTATTTTGAACTTTTGTATTTTTGGGGCCGGATGGTCGAAAGGAAACGACAAGTGAACCAACACCGCCGGCCCGGCAGACCGTGGGGCGTGGTGGAGTGTGTTATTTTTGGGGCCGACCTTTTCTAACCCCCCCTTCCACTGAGAAGGCAGCATCAGCATGGCACTGCTGGTCATCCAAGGGAAACACCTTACTGCTGTCACACCCCATCCAGCTAGCAGCAGTACGACTTCGCCCTCAGACCCCCATCATAGTGTAGCAATTTACACTACAGTGGTAACTGCTTTTCGTCTAACTACCATCCAACAGACCTTTCTGGTATGGTAGGACCTCGAGGGAACAAGCGTTCCACCAGCATAGCTCGTTGGGTCATTGTGATATGCAAGCCCGACCACCACGTCAAGGTAGCAGCTATCGGTCGGAACATTAACCCTCTCCACTCTTAAACAAGTTCACTTACTCCCGTTGAGTCAATTAAATAGGCAGCATAGAGCGTGCATTTTCTAAACGCATTCCTAAAAATTATGCGGTATGGTTATCAAAAAGTAAATGTGAATCGGCCAATGGTTCAACACACGAACATGTCATCAATTATTTTCAGTTTCATCAGAATCTGCTTTGGAAATTATCAACAAATTTAGAACAAACAGTCTAGAAGAAGTACAGTTTTGCAACCTGTGCACAACAGAACTCATCGACTGCTTCAGGCTCAAACCTTATAGGTAGACAAATTATATCCAGTTATTGCTTTAGTTATTGTCTTAATCCACCTCCTAGGATTCTGATTTTACTGATATTAACTGGATCTTAATCGATACTTTCCGTGTGATACTTTATGCTTCCTTCATCTTTTCACTGCAGGTGGATACCTGCAGCATTTACATTCAAAAACAACCGTGACCTTGTTGAAACCCCTACGTGTTTGCTTTCCCTCGCTATCTTAGGTATTATTACGTAGTCCTTTACACCCAAGTAAAAACTGCTTTATTCTATTTCTGGAAGTTGAATTATTGATGCAATCTCATCCCGTATAGTGATTGCAAACTGTTTTCCTTAAATGTCAATAAATATGAGCTCGCAACTCCACTAAATGATATCATCAAAAAAGATTTCATTCGCTCAGTTGTCCTTGTTTAAACGCCTATGTATTACGCTTCCATTCAGAAGCTTGGTTTTACTACTTTCTTCTTCGTACTGCTTTTCTCAATTTCCACCAAAAAGATATCTTGTTGTGTCAAGTTTTATGCTGACTAATTCATATGATGGCAAGTAATAAGTCTACTTTAAAACCATAATTCTATGTATTCAGTCGCCTGTGAACTCAAGACAACCCTGGAATAGTCGTCACTTATAATTTCATTTATATGCTGTACACCATCGACTAAGGTAAAACTAGATTCCAGAAAAAACGGTTAGTGTACATACAGATTTTGATGCTCATCCAATATACTACGAAACGGTGAAAGATAGTAATAAAATACCGCACGAATTCTGCAAACAGTCAGACTTTACAGACACCGCATGCGTAAATGCTGGAAAGTCAAGATAGATTATCGGTTTCACTTGCCAGACGTCAGTTTTGATTAGGGAGATGGAAATTCAGATGTTCTCGCCTATGTATATATAAAGCAGTAAATACTGCAATCAAATCTGCTGATTACAAAGAGAATAAAATCTATATTAACAATAGTTCCCTTAAAGATTATGCCAGATTTTCACAAATCGAACAGGTGGTAAATCGCTCACTTACAAAGCCGTATTAACCCTAGTTATTGTAGAATACAACTAGAACTATATCTGGAATTTCCGCACTCTGAACAGAAAGTAATGAAAACTTGGTGACAATTCCGTTCACACATGGTCACCCACTCCGTCACTTATTAAATCTTAGCTGTAGCACTAGTCTCAGAGGACACATAGAAGCTAAGCCTGGATCATAGTAGGTTAGATATCAAGCACAACTTCTATTCCCTAAGAGTTGTTCAGCCCTAGAACGCTCTTCCTGCAGATGTGATCCAGGCTACTTCGTCTGAATCCTTTAAACGTGGACTGGATAGTTACTTGACATGTGGCTGGGATCTGTCCAGAACCAACTGAATTTTTACATTCCAATCGAAACTTTTACCTTTCTTTACTTGTACACAGGTTGGTAACCAAAAGAAGTAGTGGTCCACGGGTTTTAGACACGGAAGCCAATTAGGCGAAAGCTTCCATTCCGTCAACAACCATTTGAAGAATTCAAAGAACGACAACAGTCTTACATTCTCCACTAGTCAGATACAACTGTCTGATTCAAAAATAACAGCCACCATTCGAAATAACGATGACATGTTGGCCGCTCACAAAACTTAGCCATCTATCTTTTTGCCATTTTTACTCACATCTGGTCATTTGCTGACGTTAGCAATTTTCGCCATAAATTGCTGAAATTATGCACATTTCTAAAACCTTTTCAAGCTATAAGTGGAGTTCCACTGAAATCGCTCGACTGGATAACTCATACTTCCCAGCCAGCACTTACTTTGGGCTCTCTCTGGGACTTTCGGGTTTCACCTGATGCTACTTCGGGAGCACTTAGCAACCCTTGGGTATTCCCCCTAAATTTCACAAATATTTTACTTGGCCGCTAACATTTTACTGACTTCTATAACATAAACACACGTAGCACATAAACGTCAAATATTCAGACAAAAATATTACGGATTAGGCCTTCTCGTCACTTGGGATATGGGTTACCCAAGCTGACGCATATGGGAGAAAAATGGGGACAGATGGGGAAGACGTGGGGACGTCAGGGGGGGGAATGAGGGAACAGGGGGAAAACGTGGGGAAAAAATGGAGATAAACTTCACTAGTGCGGACAATGCTGGTATTTTGTTGCATTTCCCCACGTTTTCCCATTTACTCACCATTAGTTTTTCCCATTTTATCCCATTTTTGTCAATTTGGATATTACAAATCTTCGGGTGCACTTCGCAACTTTTGACACTTTAGGGGAAAAAGTTTGGAACATTCGGCGGATATCTTGCGTCGCTCCATATGGGCCCGAAGTGAAATTTTCGGGTTTCAGCCCGAAACTCACAATGTGCTCCCGACGCTTATGCTGGCTGAGTTACGCTTAGGTGGTTCACACCATAAAAATAATAAGTTTTAAAGCCAGAAGGATGACATTAAATTACTACATTACAAAGGTCTATAACCTACATTCCTTTTCTCTTTTCTGATGTACGGGCCAACTTGGCTGGAATGCTATTTGAACCATAACATGTCGCTTGATTGATTGGTTTCAGTTCTGCCATGAAACTGAATACAGTATCCTTTAGACTACTAGTGTAAAATGAACTATCAACGTTGCTAACAACGTTTTGATGTCCAGTAGACTGATTAAAGACGCTTCTGTTTTCAACCATGAGCACTAAATGGATACAGTAGCTAGTCTTTTGAAAAACGTCTAGAAGTCCAATATCCAATACCTTTTATTATATTCCAATATTGATAGTGCGAGCGTAGAAAACTGGTAGTTTTGATCTCTCGCGTCTAGTTCTTAGGGCTTGGTTCCAGTTGTTTGGTTTGCTCCTGCAGTGGACGAGGAAATCCCCTCTGCTTCCTTGCTTTTAGCCTCGGTGAGGTGGATGTTTTGTGGGTTAGTAGGTTGTAATTTGTAGAGTGATTAGGGAGCTACGGGTTGCTGGGAAGTTTAGAGAACTGCCGTGACTCTTGTCTGTGTAGGTACCTGAAAGAAAATAGTAAGGTAGTGGTAAAGGAATGAAGAGAGAATAAAGAAGAGAGTGAAGTAGCACCATAGAGACTCTGGGAGCTGGGTTAAGGCCATATCGCTAACCATCCTTGCCTTTAAACAGGAGTTTACGTAGATAGCCACTTCCCCTCCTGCCCTAGGTTCCCTGTCCCTGCGGAAGAGTTCCATGCCAGTAACATGCATCTCTTCGTCAGAGATGTCCGATGCGAGCCAGGATTCGGTGATGAATATGATGTCGGAGTGCTGATGTTCACGCAGCGTCCTCATTTCTGCTACCTTCCCTCTTAGCCCCCTAACGTTGCCGTACATACATATTAGAGTGTGCCTGGTGAGGAGGGAGGTCTGGATGTGTATTTTCGCGGGATGAGCGCTTACGTGGTTGAATTTAGCCTCGCCAGTCCCCATAGAACTGGCGTTGTTCCGTCTCTTTGTGTTTTTTTCTTAACTTGGATGGGGGCTGTGGCAGTGGTGGCTTCCTTACTTGATGTATCTAACTCACTGGTCAGCGCCTGTGTGACGACCACTGACTCCAGAGGTCTTGGTGGTTGCCGTCTCTCCTCTTGCCTTGTGGGTCTAGGCTTACTTTCACATATACGTATTGAGCCACCCATGCGATCCTTCGCATTATACCATGCCTGCAGAACGTCTGTGAGGGAGGCATATGAGTCGAACTGGACGGCGAGTAGTCTGGGATTGGGTATGGTCTTCAGGTGCGCTGGCCTTGGCAGTCTACTGACGCTGTTGGCCGGTATACTGTTGAGACCAACCTTGGTTGAGAGCCATTGCCATTGTTGGACGTCGTGAAAGTACCGATCTTTGACCGAGCTGTCACTTGGCAATTCTGGAATCCCATGCACAACTATAGCGTTGTTTCTGTTGGGATTTCCAACCGCTGACTTTCTCTCCTCCTCTCTTATTGACCATGGCTTGTCAGGCCTGGCCCGAATTTTACAGGCATTAACAACGTCCAGTTGTCGCGAGTGAAGGAGTATGTCTTCAGCCTCTTTGGCGGTATTTAGGGACACACGTAGAGGGGGTGGCTTGTCTCGGGGTGCACGGCTTCCTCGAGAAACGCGACACAAAGTTGCGGGGAGGGGAGGGAGTCCCAGCACCTTTTAACGAGCTAGTGTAAACCAATTGATTTCTTCGCGCTCTCTTCTATGTCTTGCGGAACTGTTCCAGGTCTTTGGTGGATTCCAACGCAGTAGGTCTACCCACTCGGCAGCTGTAGCTCTGGCTAGCCCGACTGGCGGTTGGGTGTTGTTAGATTTGTAGGGAATGTTGTTTGTTTGTTTGCTTTTTCTTCCGAGGACTGTGGTGCAGATGAGTTCCTCAAATGTCGTGCCAGCAGACAATTGGTCGGACTGGTTGTAAAAGGAGATGGGAAATATGTGCAGAGAAATTAAGGGAGAGGAGAGAGACAAAATTTAAAAAGAAAAGGAAAAAAAGTAAGAAAAATAATGTGTCAAAAAAAGATCAGGAATAAGGAAACGGCACGAAGGAAGAAACACTGGTAGGTTTATTGGGAAGGGGTAATAGGGAGAGCTTTTGTTAAAGTTTGAGAGCGAAAAGTCAGAAGGAAGAATAATAAATAACATGATAGGACGAATTCGAATATAGTAATTCTTACAGTAGAAGACGGTAACTGGAGGGGACGTCTACAGGAAGGCATAAGGTTGAGCCAAGTTCTCAGTGATGGTGGTTTCACAAAGCATTCAGTAATGGTTGGCCGATCTAAGTTAGTAGGTCATGTTAGTCTAGTTCATATCCCAGCTGGATGAACGCAAACCGTGCGTCGCTGCGTGACTGACCAACCTCTTCCTGAAGCTGTCAATAGACGGAACAGTAGCAATCACGGCAGACAATGTGCTCCAGTGGCCGCAAAACTCGCAGAGAGAAGTGTGATCGCACACGGGCTTTCGCTCTTCGGTGGGCTATCCTCCTCGGGTTACCGCAGAGGATCGCCATAGTGGTCGCTTGGTAGGATTCCACTGTTCGGATGATTTGGGTTACTTAGTATTTTGTAAGTCGTTATCAGATCACCACGTAATCTGTGGTAGCTTAGAGAGTAGAGTCCCAGATTTTTCAGCTTGTCTTGATGTGGTTTCCACCTCATTCCCACGACACTCTTTGTAGCTCACCCTTGGACTTTCTCTGAGTCTGGGGTGCGGAGGAACATGGCTCGGCATTTATCTAGATTAAATGCTAGTCCATTAATATCCACCCACTCCGCAGGTAATCTGAGATCACTTTGCAGTCCACTTGATTCTGTTTCCGTCTTCATAGCTCTCTATAGCTTAACATCATGGGCGTAGAGTGGAATTGGGGAGCTGAGATTCAGTGGGAGGTGGTTCACAAAGAGAAGGAACAGCAGTGGACCCAGAATCGCCCCCTGTGATACACCAAATGATGATGTCCTCCGAGTCAAGCAAACTCTGTTGGCTTTTGTGCAGAACTGTCCACCGTCCAGATAGTCCTGTAACCATGAAAGCACTTCCCCTTTGATGCCCAACCTTTCTATTTTGTGAATATGAGTGGTTTGCGGGACTGTGTCGAAGGCCTTGGCGAAATGCAGGAAGACAACGTGGACAGGGCTTCAGAGGTCGCAGCGTGCCGTCCACTTGTCACCTGCTACCAGAATGTTTGAGGCACAAGACCTACCCTTTCTGAAACCATGTTGAGCGTCACCAAGTGCCCCCCTCTTCTAAGTACTCCCTGATATGGTCGTCTACCAGGCTCTCCATTACCTTTGACAGAAATCGTAGGAGGGCTGTGGGTCGGTAGAATTCTGGGTTCTGCCTGCCTGCTCCTTTGAAGATGAGGGGCAGAACAGCACCTTTCCACTCCCGTCGAAGCATGTGATTGTCTAAGCAGTGTTGAAACAAGTTACACGGAGGGCTACACAACGCACCCACGCATTGTTTCAGCACAGCCGGTCGGATGTCATCACACCCTGGTGATTTCTCCACGCGCGGCTTTGACAGTTTTTCGAGGACCATGGCAGGAGTCACCTCCGTTCCAAGTAACTCTACTGTGTTTGGTGGTGCTGAATGTTGGCCGTGCAGTTGTTGATTTTGGCCCGATAGAAACGCATTCAGTTGCGCATCAAAGGCGGAGCCAAAGGCTATCTCTAGTCCGGAGAGGTTTTCTCCATCTAGGCCCTACAGGACGCAAGACCCCTGGCTGGTGGATTTTCTGCCTACCACAAATCGATATACTTTTCTGGGTTCTCGTCGAGCTTCTGGGCAAGGCTCGTCTGGAATGACCTCCTGTCTCCCCTCACTCCAACGGTACATCGATTTCTTAGGGCAATGTACATGGCGTGGTCAGACTCTTTTCTGGAGGTCCTCCACCAGTGCCATGCTTTTCTCTTAGCTTTGAAAATGCATTCAGTGCCTCGCTTCAGCCATGAGGTTCGCTCCGGCGGCATTGCTGTGATTACAGGGACGTTTTCAGAGATAGCCCCCTTGATGATATCTCCAACCAGCGTCTAATGCTGACCAATCGACAGGCTGCTCTTTTCGATGTCACTAATGTCCGGTGATAACCAAGTTTCTGTCGAGATTATGATCGTTGGAGCAGGGCAGGAATACAGAAATCGTAGTTCCCCCATCTTGCCTCCAAGTCCCCTCACATTACTGGATATGTATCTAACGACATGGGGTGTCTTGGTGGTGGCAGACTAAAAGGGGTTCGTATGCAATGGCAAAACTTGCTATAAGACGGCCAGCTCCAGTGGAACCAGCCAAATCACGTTTTCCCCACAATGGTTTCTGGGGGTTTCATAGAGTCTAGGCTTGTTTTCGAATCTTGCTTGTTGACAATGATGGCGACTTCAGCACTGGGTGCAGCTATCATTTGCTGTTGTCGCAGTGTCCTGGGCCTGCTCTCACAGCAGCAAACCTTCCTACTGATGTTGTCTTTTACTGTGTACCAAGTTTGCAGCAACTTGGTCGAAAGGTCTTGACGGCCGAAGTTAGCTGCCATCAGCCGGAATGGCGTTATCGTCGTGAGATGTGAGGGACGTGGCAGTCTGCAGGCCGCCTCCACCGCTATCCCATTTAACCCTATCCTCGCTGATAACCACTGTCATTGCTGGACGTCGTGGGCTACTTTTCTACCACTGTGTCGGTTATTAGTTCCAGTATGCTGTTGACAACCATAGGGGTTGGCTTTAGCGTTAATAAATAAATAAATATCCCTATTCTCAAGTTATGAAGTTAACATGACAGAAGCCAGTTTACAGGCCTCATCAAATTGATAGCTGCAGAGAAACATTAAAAGTTTTAGTAGTATTGAATGATACAGAGGGAGGACATTGGACTCTATCATGATACCAAGTGTCTAAATGCTATGAAAATAGCAGGAAAATATCACTGTGCAGTACAAACACATCGTTCTGAGTTTAAATCATTCCTACTCACAATTCTTATTTCACATCAAATGGAGCAATATTTGATGTTTGTGTTATGGGTAGTAGACATGATCCACCCATCTGCAAAGCCCAGTGTTTCGTCGGATAAAAGTCTATTTTAACAGTAATTCTTATGTTCGTAGATTTATCGACCAACAATAACCTACTTCAATGATTTCAGGAATAAGTATCCATACAATCACTTAATCCAGGTGAATGTCTGAGTTCAGGCGTTTCTGACTCTTCAAGTGTTACCTCTTCCAGCAGTTTAGATTGGAAGTACTGAAAACATTTGTT